GCCAAATTAAAATAAAAAATCTTAATAGATCAAAATAGAGTAGTTTGGCTAATTATCCTTCATATGAAATGTATTTACCCTATTTTGTGTAAAGTGATGAATGACTGGTAGTAGACATTTCCCAAAATGATATGAGAAGAGCTGACGTTTCCATTCCTTTTCACAGTTTTGCTTTCCCAAAGGTTGTTCTCATCCAGGCTGAGGTGGAATTTAGTTTCGAAATCGAATCTGCCTTATCAATACCCCCCGCGGGAGTCGAACCGTGACAGGACAGAATGGTAGCTTGACACATTAACCAGTCGGCCACATTTCCACGAGTGCCATTGGGTCATGGGGCAAATGTACATTTCAAGGAAGGTCATATCATATTCTTTGGTGGGATTGTCGATGAAGCAAACGTATATTTGCTATAACAATCGAATACGCTACTTATTTTTTGCATTTAAGTAGAGTCTCGAGACTACCAGTAAATCAGTAATATAATATAATAATAGTTCGTTATCACCTTAATCGAAATAGGGTGAATACTCGCACCCTATCACAATTTCTTACTTGTTCATACTCCACTTCTCAAGAAGTGGAACTTATCACACTTACTCGTTTACCTCGCCCCTCCTCCCTCCCACTGGATTTTTTCATCCTACTCCCATCTCCTATCCGAATCTGCTTCATGGACATGTAAATGTCCTTCCCATTGTTCCGGTTCACCGATTTCACTCGGTCCCAGTCTCAGTCTGCTTGTTGAAAAGACAAAAATTATATTTTGGCAAAGTGGCAATATTTCAAATCCACTTTTAGGCGCTGATGACACGCCGACAATGCCAACTGTGGCTGTGTGAAATTGACTGGCATCTCGAGGTATTATACCCATTTCAGTCATGTCAAGCGTGGCTATCAGCTGGAAAAGAGATGCTAGACATGCCAAAACATGTCACCTGAATACCTGAACGGGACGATTACCTCACGCATCTGCTTCAGCTCGGACATCCGACCGGCCAGGGCTTCTTTGATCGCGTACTCGTTCGCCTCACAAGGAGCCTCGTGACTTCCCAGCAGACTGGAGAGGGAGGTTCTGGCAAAGGGGAAAAGCAAACAAGAGGCTCACAGCAATGCTGGATGGCAAGAAAAGAAAGCTGGCCGTTTCTATGCCTCCAAGTTGGTCGGCCCTCGTCAGACTAGCCTCAAAACGAGAGGACGAGCATAGAGTCCAAAACGCAATCAAAGCACAAATACTTTCGTGACATGACTTTCCATTTCAGAGAAAAAAGTTGATTTGAAGAAATTTGCGATGTGGTCTCACCGGAAACCGACGTGGCAATCCTTCTTCTGTGTCTGGTGAGACCATATTACGAATTCTTTCAAACCAACTTTTCCTTTGAATTAAGCAATTCTTCTAAATCCAGTTTTTTTTTCATATCTTCTGAGACTTCTTGTCTGAAACACTCATAATTGTTGGGATTACTTCCATTTCGAGTAAAAGTGTTGGGTGAAGAGA